TGAAAACAAGTCTTCACTTTGTGATTCAAAGGGTGTACTGTATAATTTAATTCATGCCTCATTAAATGTCCCTGAATGTGATGCACTATATGACCATCATGCATCAGGACAAAATAAAAGAAAAAGGCAAGAAGGTCTGTGGAGTTTAAACTGGTTCTCATCAGGTCAGCTGAATCTAAACATCCTACAGGTGAATCTGTTCTTGAGGTAAATTACATTCAGCGTTTTGGGAAACAGGTGACACCGAATACCGATAATCTTTTGTTTTGTGCTTGGTTATTATGTGATACCTTGTGAACTGATAAACTGATGCTCATAGACATGTAGTATATAACATGATTGCTCAAAACCTAATGTAAAATGAGAGTGAATCTAAGTGGATTCCTGTTAATTGATACGATCAGCCTGAGTAGCATTATGAGATTAGAGATTCAGAGCAGATGTTAAACTGAAAATGATAAGATTTGTCTCTAGGTCTCTGTTACACTGTGATTCCACTGTACTGGTTTGACTGCAAGTTAATAATCCCATATTATCATCATGTAATATTAAACTATCATCACCTAAATTAGTCTGCAACCCAATCTAAGAAGCAGAATATTAACAAATATTCTCAGTTTAATCTAAAGAAAAAACATTTACCAGTATTTTTATGGTTACAAAGTCAAATCTATATCTGAGTTTGGCCCAAAATGTTATATGTAAGAAACACAGAGTTACTGTTTTTAGTCAGGGCGGCAACTTGTATTTCATACACAAGATGGAAACAAATGATAAAATTAAGATGTGTTGCTGCAGTTTGCAGGATGTTGGTGTATGACCCAAATGCAGCTGTTTACGACGAATGATTTCCATAATTCCTACAATTTGGAAATACAATAAAGTCAGAAGCTTGTCATATTTTATAAATTTAACTAATTGTCTCTGTAGGAGGATGTGATTTGTTAATAGGTTAATCTCCCTGCTCATTTTCCTCTCGTTTCCAATCATGAACATCAGTCAAGCGTGCACATTAACATGAGGGATGATGTGGTTTGGTGAGTCTGAGTCTCAGTCATATAATGAAGCCCAGTGCCTGAAACAAAAGTTCACTATTTTGGGAAATGATTTGCACTCTGGTGGAGTTGGATAAGGATTTCAACACTATGCTCCCATCTGTCAGTTAAATATCAAGCTACTGCTAACAACCACTTTGCTTAGCTTAGCAGAACACATGGAAACAGAAGGACAAGCTAGCTTGACTCTAATGGTACAAACCCTTCTGTAAAATGGTGAATTTTCACCTTCACACTTTAGTTTTTATATGGATCAAACCAATAAGATATGGCATGTTAATTATTGAGCTGATAACTCTCACACAGAATCAGGCTTGCTTTTTCCCCCGTCTACAGTCTTTGTGATGAAGCCAATGTTAGCAGCTGGCTAGCAAGGCTAGCCATAGTCTTTACCCACATTTATAGACAAACCCAGAAACAAATTACTAATATGCAAGAAATATGTTGTAAAATTCATGTAATTTACACGTAGATTAGACTCTACTCACGTTTTGAGAGATCTAGCTAAGCTAGCCAACTGCTAACATTAGCTTTGTGTACAATCTTCTAATTAAACTCAACCAGAAAGCGAACAGATGTATTTTTAAAAATGTAAAAGAATTAACCAAATGGAAGAATAACTGACAAATTTGATTCAACAAAGAAATAAAACAAAATGAATAAGTGTGGTAAGACTTCATTAGTTCTGTCAAGACCCGAGCAGATTGTGATCTACGTCTAAATTCATTTTATAACAGATTTCTTATTTAATAGTAATTCATTTCTGGGTCTGTCCATGAATGTGAGTAAAATTAGAGCAACACAATAAAGACAGATCATGTGTGAATCACAGGCAGTAACCTTCTCTGTGTACCGTTGGGTTTTAACCAAAACAAACCAATTAGACCAGCGCACACAAAAGAAAACTGTTTAAAGGTCATGACATTTCAGGACTTCTCCAGAATGGTGGACTGATTGGAGCTTCCTCCAGAGCTTTCAGGAAACCAAAAGAACCATCAGGCCTAGTTACTGAAGCAACGCGGTGTCACTTCACCTCCAAGGGCCTTAAGATTTAATGTTATTACGACACAGCTGCAGAGAGAGTATATCTCGTCATCATGTCGCCTGTACATTGACCTCCACTGTTGGGTCTTAATTCTTGATAATAAGGAAAAGTTGGAGATTAAAGAGGACAGAGATATTAGTGTAGGAGGATGACAAGGGTGGGGATAAGTGTGATGACTCCCTGGAATTACTCAATTATCACTGGGCTTCATTTCATGCTGTCAAACAAAGTCACATCAGATTTCAAGATGAGGGCAGGTCTTCTGTGTGTCGTGTTCTCACATCATTTTCCCTTATAAAATAGCTTTCATTTGTACAGTGACGCCAGGTAATTAAAGCGATGAATCAAGCTTTCAGTGTTTAATGTTCTCAACAGAATTTATTTGTGCATGCCACTTAGATGCAGGGCTGCAATGCACAATTCATCACGTAGTATTCTATATACAAAGCTATGGAATATCTACGTGAACGTAATAAATCTTTAGCAGCGTCTGTTTCTCCTCCTGCCTGCCTCACTTGTCCCATATCTCCTCATCACGGCGCTGTGATAAATCTAAACTCCCTCTCAGTAACAATAAAGCCAATTACATTAAACCCACCTTCCCTTTGTACGAGCGTATTAATTCATCTCATATTCATTGTGCATACAGCTGAAGGAAACAGGACAGTGGCTGTTTTTGTTATTATGTCTTCTGGTTTATTGTAACAGATCAAAATGAATTATAGTGCCCAGGAGTATTTCAGCTTCACACAAAGACCAACGGTAGGTAGAGAAAAGGTAATTCTGTAATGATCCATAATGAGAGTCTCTAATAAAGCAGATTTGAATTTATGTAATGGTGTGAATGCATGAAAAGTTGAACAGAAATTGGAAATTGAGCATATTTCATACAATTAGAGTCTTTTTTATTTTTGAAGTAAAAGCAAAAATTCAGCTTTAAAATACATGTTGAGCTCCAGTGATTTATTGTGAAATCTCTGAGTTTGGCCATGTGAAAGTCAACATTGCTGTCGTACAGAGAACCTAACTTGAGTTTGTGCCTCTGCAGTCTGGTGTGTCAGATCAGTGACGCCATCAGGGCCGTGACACTGTGGTGGACGACTAAATGTTTATAATGTCACTCAAAAATGAAATAAATCAGGCTATACAATAATAATCAGCTTTAAAAGGTGTGATGTCTCTGAAGTCTCACATTGCATTACAACTAACCACTTATCGTTACGGTGTCGCCCGTGCGTGAAATAACACTTTCCTTCTCTCAAGTGAGGTGAGGACAAGATGTGTGGACATGTTTTCCTGAAGCACAAATGGAAAGAAAATCACAACCAATTTCAAGCATTGACAGAAAAACAACTATAATTCACATCAGTCCTGGTCTGATCCTCGGGCCTCACACTGGCCTCCTGTCTGTGAAACACTGTGTCTGTAAATACTATTGGTCTGTGTGGCACTGAATGATTCAGGACCAAAACACGGTTGTTGCTGCTGCATATTACGAACTGTCTGGACGTCTTGGCGTCTGTTTAAAAAGAGGACACAGTGTTGAGTTTTTATGACCCACAAACTCCCAGAAAACCTGACGTCTGCTGCAACTCTCTGTTCTTTTACATCACAGCTGAAAAAACCTTTGGGTTTGCCAGTGTCTTATGAAATCACATTTGGGGCTAATCATCAATACCGTTTCCTGTTCAATCGATCTTATTCCATTGTAGATTATTTTCTGTTTTACTTTACTCCTTTTCAATCCTACTCAAGATAAGATAAGATAAGATAAGATAAGATAAGATAAGATAAGATAAGATAAGTTAAGATAAGATAAGATAAGATAAGATAAAATAAGTTAAGATAAGATAAGATAAGTTAAGATAAAACTTTAAATTAAAATTAAATTAGCATAAAATGGAAATTGGTCTGACAACCTGGCAACACAGTAAAACCATAAATATATAAAAATATATACACAAAATACACATAAATACATGTATCTTTATAAATATATATACTTGTGTGTCTTTTATATCTTGTTTAAATGCATTTTTATGCCTTAACACATTCATTGAAAGGTGGTTTTCAGATAAACATACATTAAACAATAACAGACATAAATCCAACCCAAAGCTGTGGATCTGATTGGTCTATTTAATCTATTTAATCAGGCTATAAAATAAGTTTTTACATGAGGACATCTTAGTTAACTGTAACCTTCACGTTGCTGTTCTTATATCTACTTACACCTTTACAATGAAAACATATGAAAGGGTTGCAGTACATTGCTGGATGATAAGAGCGTTGTTCTTCGTGAAGAGTAATAAAACAGATGGCGGGAACCAACGTGGCCTTTCAAGAAAAGTAAAGTGTAGCTGTCTCCACTGGAGAGACAGTCTGAGACATTTTCTCCAAAGGACTATAGTGTCGGATTATACCCACACAGAACAGTGTGAGAACCCACAGTCCAACAGAACAAACTGCAGCCACAGAAAACATCCCTCACTAGAATTAAAATGTCTGACACAACAAAAACCGAACTCTAAACTCAACGCGGACACGAGAGGAAACAAGTACTGCTCATCGTCCTGCTTGTTCATTTTTCCAGCGGGACTTCAACCCGCTCATCACATCTCATATAAGTTTTCAGGCGCGCGCGGAGCCTCCGATGACGCAGTCAGGTGTCAGCGCGCGTGGAGGGTGTGTGTGTGAGTGTGTGTGTGTGTGTGTTTGTGTGACACGAGCCTTCATATTTCTCTGACGTGAGACAGAAACTCTCAGAAGAGCAAGAAGTCAAGCGGACAGAACCCAAAAAAGAAAAGAAAAAAGAGGAGAAGAAAAAACAAGAAACGAGAGAGAGAGAAAAAGAGAGAGAGAGAGAGAAAAGAGAGAGAGAGAGAGAGAGAGACAGGGGGATGAGGACCTTCCAGAGCCAAAGTCAGCCTGCGCCCCGCGGAGCCTCCAGCAGCCTGCACAGCCTCAGCAGCACCGCCATGAGTCCACTCAGCACGGCCAGCATCACCCTCGCAGCCCTGCTCATCCTCACCATACCAGTGTGCAAAAGTAAGTCAGTCTATCTATCTATCTATCTATCTATCTATCTATCTATCTATCTATCTATCTATCTATCTATCTACTGTTACTTTCAATTTAATTCATTCATACACATTAGTTCTTACTAAAGTATGAGATAAATGTACATTATTATGTATTTATAATTTTGTGATGGTTTGTCTTATACTTTTATACAATAATGTGAAAAATGAATTAATAGACATGACTAATATAATAATATATAATACTACTGAGCTGCTGGACAGTTGAATTTAGAATAAAGTAAGTATCTATCTATCTCTCTCTCTCTCTATATATAACATAATAATATAAGCATTAGTATAGTGAAAACTAATGTAAAATGAATGAATTACATTAAAAGTAGATAGATAGATAGATAGATAGATAGATAGATAGATAGATAGATAGATAGATAGATAGATATTTTATTTATCCCTAAGGGGAAATGCAGCTCATTATTAGTAATAATAATAGTTAATAATAAAGAATAATAGTTGATTATCCAGGTCAGGTGTTATACAGCCTGATGGCAGTGGGGACAAAGGATCTCCTAAACTTTTTAATATTATAACCTTATATATTGAATATTGTTTTCCATGTGACTTAACTGTTCGTCAGTGTGCTGCCTGATCAATTCTATACATTTAACATGGTTCACATTACAAATATATATTTTTTTCCACCTATCCATCTCTGTTGTTCTTAAACGATGTGACACAGACGAGACAGTTTGGTGAAACACTTGCAGGCAGAGACGGCGCTCTGATGTCGCAGCGTCTGATTGGATGTGTCCACTGACTGACACAAAGTCAGCAGTGATTGAAATGTCTGAATATGCAGATTGACAGTCTCTTCTCCCCACATCAGTGTCGGAGCTGCGTGATGATGATGGCGACCACGACATGGCGCTCTGAAAAGGAGAAGAGTTGATGAAAGTGGTTTTTATTCATGAAAGTGTGAAGAAGCAGTGACCTCACATCAACATGGTGGACAATAACTTCCTCCGTGTTATAGAGCAAAGCTTTTTACCCCTGCTAATGGACATCCGCTGCAATCATGTTCGTCAGCAGAGGAGCTTCATTAGCGTTCTGTCAATAAAATGTACGACTGCTGTCAGATGTGAACGTGTTGTGAGGATGATATTAAAATGGCAGCATGTGTCTCGAGTCATTTCAGCCTCAGTTATTAACTGTGTGTTGTGTGAAACTCAAGGTGCTCCAGCAGAACTTCAGCAAGCCACAACAGAGCAGAGGCAGCTACTCAGCCAGGTATGATGTCTGTCTTTCTTTCTTTCTTTCTTTCTTTCTTTCTTTCTTTCTTTCTTTCTTTCTTTCTTTCTGTCTTAATCATGCTCTGTGTGGCTCCACAGATAGACGCTGTGTGCTCATCCTACCTCTCTGCAGACCTGAAGTTCTGGGTGAGTGAGGTGTGATTCCTTCTTTATTTCTTTAAACAGATATTACAAACACATTTGGGGTACATTCTTTATTTCTAAATTAATTTAGCCCTTTTTAATTCTTCTCTTTGGTTTCTTTTCCAGGCATCTGATGTCTTAGGGGAACTCTGTGTCTTGATGCTGGTTCAGAAGTCAAAGGTACATCACACTTTACACTCTTTTACTGGGTGAAAGCTCTTAAGTTTTGGTGCTACTTGCAAGATTTGACATGAAATGACTCTTTGAATCCGAGAGGAATGACGTGTTGTTTTCTTCTCAGGAGCTGAAAGTGCGAGAAAACAGTAAAAGGGTGAGTACGACTTACGACTTTCCCCTGAAATGGTTTGACTGGATCCATACAGACATTAAACCTAATGACAAATTTGTGTTGCCTTGTGTGTGTGCGTGAGTGTTTTCTTTTTTTTTTCAATGCCATGCACTGTATGTGCAGTTTTTATTTCATTACTCTGGACCACAAGGTTCTGCCTTGTCACAGAGGATGGTGAGTAAGTCTACAGATAAATCTGCACTGCTGCAGTGTGTTGCTTGACCTAAGAGAGCGCCTCCACATTGTGTCAGGACTGCACTTCATGCGTGAGTGTGGTACTTTTAAACGTGCGCAGCGCAACAGACGAGTAAATCCAACAATCTGACAGAGCTGTTACTGTCAGGCCATAAAAGAAGCTTCAATCACCAAACAGAAATGCATACAGGTGTACATTTACCACAGGGAAATGTAAGAATGGACACACACACACACACACACACACGGTCTTAACAAATAATTATATCAAATGAAATCCTGCACTGCTTTAACTGCTTGTGTGCTCTGCATGTCAGCAGGCATGGCTCCACTACCAGCTTTATTTCTCTGCTGCACGAGATCAAGAGACGAGGGAAAGTTACAGAGACATAATAGTGCGACTCAGAAATGTGATCACAGCTCTTGATATTGCGACTCAGTGATGAGGGAAATTCAATTTTCACATACATTTTGATATTTTCCTGATATTTTAACGTGTCGGAAAGATTTCGAGTCATGTAATGGGACGATGAAAGAGCTGTGATAAATGTTCACATCCTCCAGCATCAGACTCGATGTGACATAACTTATGATACTTTTCATGTATTTTCCTTAATGTGTATTTACGCTCATTGAAACCCACAAAACATCCCAGGACGCACATTCACCTGCCTCAACAAAACATCTTCCTTCAATGAAACATGGAGCTATCTCGTCCTCTGCTCCTCCATCACTGCTGTGATAAATAATGCAGAATGTTACGTGTTGACACTGAGGAAACCGCTGCACCGAGGAGGCGTCTGTGCCATGTTTGCATTTCCGTGTTGCATGTTCTTGTGCGTTAACCAGAGGGAAACAGTGTTTCACTCTTTGCCTGTGAACCATCCATACTCTTTACTTTCTCTCTCCCTTGTGTGTCTGGCTGTGTGTGTGTGTGTGTGTGTGTGTGTGTGTGTGTGTGTGTGCGCGTGTGCATGTGCGTGTGTGTGTCAGACCCCTATGTTGCACCCTCTCCTGCATCTAGTTTCTCAACTCCATAACAGAGGAGAGAGAGGACTCTCGATGCACGTATGTACCCCCCCCCCTTCACTCGCCATTTTCTGTTTTTTTGCTTTATGAAATAATCTCACATTTACTGATTGATTGACTGATTGATTGATTGATTGAAACAAAGCAATCAGAAGTCAAGATGCTTTGTTTTTCAGCAAAACACTGTATGCGATCAGTCATGAGCACTGACATGAAATCCTGTGGTGTGTGATTTCTTCTGACAATTACCGGGGTGATAAAAATTCAAAGTCATTAGCTACAGAATGTATTAAAATCTCTCAACTGCAAAACGATCCTTGGTGGAAACTGTAGAAGCATCTGATGGATGGGAACTTATATACAATTACAACAGCAGCATTTAAGTGCATTAGTGACTTCTACTTTAGTATGTTTGTAGGAAAATATTGAAATGCGTGTTATGTTTTGCCCTTCCTGAGCTTACGAGACAATAACACTGCTTCACATTGGGCAGCGCTCCTCGCTCTCTGTACCAGCTCTGCATTAGTTGTTCTTTCCCAAGCTGCAGTAATTACGGTCTAAAATTAGTGCAGCTGACAGGTGAACTTATCCCTCATTCAAGCTATCAAGCGCTGACATTCACAATGTGGACACATGAGGAATTGTGAGCGAGATGATGAAGAGAGTGTTTGTTTTGGAAAATCCAGATGTGAATGTTTGAGTGTGTGTGTCTGTGTGTGTGTGTGGAGACTCGTAGCGACATTAAATTCTGCGGTTTCTGTGTCTATACAGGCTGAACTGCAGGGACCTGGTGGAATCCAGAGCAGAGGTTACTTCCTCTATCGGGTATGAACATTTTTATATCGGGAAATAAAATAAAATAAAATAATAATAACAAAAATAAAAATAAACTTCCTCTAGATAATATGATTGTGTTTGCACTTGCAGCCACGAAATGGAAGACGATCCTTAGAATATGAGTAAATTAAAGGTAATACTCTGATGACATTTTTTTATCTTTTGCTTTTCAACCAAACACTCAGTAATTCAGTCTAAAACACACACACACACACACACACACACACACACACACACACACACATACATACTGTCATGTACGCCATGATTCATAATGGTGTGATTTACTTTATTTAGAGGACAGCAGTCTATCAGGATTTAATTTTTCCCATCATAATCACCCAGTAGATAATATATAAGTCGCTAACTTTCTGACCCACTATATTCTGTTCATTATTAGTGAATCCTTCCAATTTCAATTGAACCAATTTGATTGTTGTAATTTTGAGATAATGACGGGAAGGGTGTTGCACTTTTTATATATAATAATGCTATATTATTAATGCTGGACATGATCTTCTTCTTTAGAAAGTAAAAGATAATGTTCACAGCCCCCCCCCCCCCACCCCCGTCCCACTCTGGTAATTTTCATACAGTCTCTAAAATCTTGTGATTATCCCTGGCAGTGGTGACTGGTAGGACTATACATAACTACAGGCTGCTAACACCGTGTCAGAGATGTGTGTGTGTGTGTGTGTGTGTGTGTGTGTGTGTGTGTTGTGATCTAATTGTGTGTGTCTCCACCTCTGAAGCTTAGCGTGTAGAGACGAGACCCGAGCCGCTGCCCCACGACTGAGTGATCCAGACTTTAACCACAGCCCTCCGCCACTGTTGTATAGTGATGTCTGAATGTACACAAAGAATATAATTAAAATACTAGTCATTTGTCCAGATTTTATTTTGTGTTATATGTTTGTCATTTGCATTAAAATGCTATAATGTGGTCAGGTGTTCAGTTTGATTTGTTACACATGGTGTCATATAAACAAGAATCTTTCATTACATTTCATGGAAAAAGCTTTAAAAAAGTACTGTATGCATGAATAGAGATGCAAGTTGCATTGAATTGAAAAGTAAACCACACATCAGGTGTTCTTAAACCACTATATTTGACATATAATGTTGTATTTAGAAAAAAGATGCATATACTGTTAGAACAAGTATTTTTTTTGATGATTAAAAAACTAAAATAAAATAAGCAGTGTATTTGTCACAGTAGTTCCTTTTATGGATTTTGCATCTTTTATGTCACCATTCCAAATTAAAGTGAGGAATAACATACTGATCAGGTAAAGTAACTAAGTGAACAGGCCATAAACTAATACAAGAACATTTATAATATCAGGATTGACTGTTTTTAGTTGGTTTACATGAGAGATGCTCTGAAAACAACAAGCCTGACTCACTAATCAGACCTCTTTTAAAAGGAACAACACCCAGCTCAACACCCTTATGATAAAAATAAACATTTAGTTTTTATAAATTTACTTTATATATTTTCTTCCTTTCTTTCTCTACTTGAATTATGATTGTTATCAAGAAGTGTCTAATGTGATGGGAGCATGAACGTGTAATTACTGTTATGAACAGTAGATGTCGCCATGCTCCGCCAGTTAAAGTCAGGATGTCTTTCCACCACCTTGGTGAAGTTATATTGATATATAGCACAATATATATTGTTGAATGTATTTGATTGATAGGTTGATTGTATATCTTGGTTTATGTGTTTCATTGACCATGTAAAGTACAGACCACCTTAATCCTATCAGATGTAGATTCCCATACATGAATGTAATATATGACATGTCATTATATCAAGAGTGATGTTGCCATATATGTCACTTATAAGGATATATAATATTATCACATATATGCATACATGAAGATATAGGTTTATAACATATATGAAATACCCATAGTAAAATTTGTATGTGTACATATAATAAATAAATATCTGTATGATAACATGTTGCAATCACATGTGTTAAGAATATATATTTAATTTATAAATGCAAGTTTATTAAAACAACATAAATATAGAAAACATATATGCTTATATATGTTTTTCTTATTCATTTCTCATTAATTTTAAACATGTCTATCTTCACATTCTGTCAAAGTGGTCTCAGACTTTTGGACACTACATTTATGTAATATGCCTAAAATATAAACAAAAATAGATAAAAATACAAATTTGTATGGGCTAGACATATATGTCAATATATGACATTGTTCCAGTTTGTAATAGGTTTCATATATAATTTTTACTTATGTGTATTTATTTTATATGCACATATATTTCATGTCCTCAGCCCATCATAACAACCCTAATCCAGATGACAGATACAGTTAAATCTGTACAGGTACAGAAGTTATAGGTTATAGGTATAGAGGTTATAGAGAGTTAGATTGTTGGTATTTGGTGTGTTAGCCTCAGTATCAGTTCTTTAAATGTTCAGCTGCACCACAGCAAACCACCCACCACGCTGAATGTGAGCAATTTACAGAGCAGAACATTCTTGGCCGTCTCCCAACATCCTCATCAAGATGGAGTGCTTGCAATTGTGACTTCACCATAAACAACAATGTGTTTTCACAGTCAAGTTTTAACTGGTTTGAGAGCCTTTGGATTTTAGTAGAGAAAGAGTTACTGTGTCAAATATCCCATGACTCTCTGGCAAACTCAATAAAACAGGCTATAAAACCACTACAGCACTTTATCCTGGACTTCAATCGATAATGTAAGGCTGGTTCACTCAATGTGACTCCTATTACCTGAGTAACAACAGGAAGATTGTGACAGTTTGACTGAAGAATATTGTTTTAAAGCTGGAGTGATAAAAAAACAAACAGCTTGATTTGCCCATTTGGCACTTTAACAGGGAGAATCTTCCAGGACATGTGAATGTAAAGTCATGTTATAACAATTTGCATTTGATGCATGCAACTCAATTAGCATTACCAGTAAACACAGAGATGATATGCAAAACCTGTGTTTAGAGTCTGGTCAGAACACAACCCTCTGCCCCTGCCTCTTCAGAATAAAATGAACATACTGTATGGGATAGATAGATACTTTATTTATCCCCTAGGTGAAATTCACGATACTGGGATAATCAAAGGATATGTGCAATATAATAAATATTAAAGCTAATAAATGTGAATTGTATATTATGTTTTCTTTTTCACTCATTAACAGTCAAGTTCAGTCTTCTGAAGTCAAAATGTTGAAACAGCGCCACCCACTCTTCCACTTCACTACTGTGGCCAAAAATGATATCGCAGCTTTTGCCACTTGGCTGTTGCCATGGTGACGAGTACCACGCCGGAGATGGGGAAACGTTAAAACAATATGATGGTCAATTAATCCAAAGGCACCGGTCTAAAGGGCAGAGAGAAGAACTACACTGTTAAACTAAGATGTTTTTCTTTATTCATAGTGTGTCTGTGTTCCCGCTGACAACAATGACTGAAATAACTGGATTTAAAAAATAGGCAAAAAGCTTCTGTAAAAGCCAGGGCACACACATAAGCCTACCTGCGTGGTAGTATACCCATAAAATTAGAAATTATAAACATTTAATGCTAAAAAAATATCTTTCAAATGGGATTTAGGAAGAATTTGGAATATTTTTTATTTTACATCTTTTCCCCGATAAAATGACATTAAAAATGATCAAAAAACGAAAAATCTTACTCAGGAGGAATTATGTTTTTTATTTTTATACTAAAAAAACTTTCAAATAAGTATAAAATAAATAAATTATACAACATTTTTCCAAAAAAAAGGGGGGGGGGGAAAGCTACAGTGGAATAGTTTTGAATTCTTCCTTTCTACAAGTGGTTCAGTCTAATGTCAGACTTAACACTGTAAAACCTAATAAACAAACTCTATACCAGTAGGCTACATAACGTAGATACCTGAGTGTGACAGGTAATGTGCTAAAACCTGGATGTTGATTACCTCCCTCTCACAGGCATGTGTGTTATCTGGAGTACAGCATTAGGCCCGGTTGGCTCTCCTTCCAACTTCAGTCAGCCTGCCTCAGCCCTGCGCAGTCAACCGTCAGCAGCGCCACTGGGTGCGGGGATATCCCGATGAAAAGGGAGCCTGTTCGGGGGGTAAGTGTGACATCTCCACCGGTCAGCTCTGCTCCGTGTTCGTGTCGCTCGTCTCTGCCGCTTCTCCGTGCGCTGTTGTCAGGCGTGAAGCCACAAACGGAACCGTTTTTTTTTTGGGTCTTGTTAGGTGACAAGAGGACTGGCCGGAGGCCCGGTGACCCACATTCTTATCTAATGCTGCATGTTAGCATGCTAGCTAGCTCCGGCTAAAAGTGGGTTGACACACAGCGTACAGTACGTGGTTGCAGACGAGTTGAACGCTCGCTACGTTACACTGTAAAGTCGCTTGCCTGCGGAAAATTAACGGCTGTGTAATTTTTCCCGGATAATTGAGCCTCGACAGTGTTTGTCCTGTGTCGCAGTAGGTGTGCCAAACTATAAAAGCTGTTGTTTTGTCTGTGTAATTGACGTTAGCAAAGTAAGCTAGGTGGCGTTAGCCTTCTAGCAATCACTGCCCGGTTTTGCCGGCCGGCATCAGCGGCAGCGGGGGTGACAGGCGGAGAGACGTGCCTGTACCCGGGCTTGTCACTTCACGGCCGGCTGTGGTTCAGGGGACTTTACGTACCTGAAAGCCGCACACGTCTTCCCCGCATCTACTGCCTCCTTTTTTTAACGGTATGTCTGTTTTTCCCTTGGTGTTAATCACTAGATCTGTGGCAACTGCGTTTCACTCCCACTTTCCAGCATTTGTTTTCGCATATATCTGCTCTGCTGTTATCACATAGTCACTTCATATGTTGTTGTACCTGTCAGACGTGTCCATAAATGCCTCAGTAACGCTGTAATAATGTCTGGGTTGTGAATGATTTGCACCAGAATCATATGGGACTACTTGGTAACACGATGAGCTGTGCAGATCAGAGATGTCTTAATTGTGATCCAGCCTCTTACATGTGAAAACAAGTGTCTAATAGTAATGGCTGCTTCTTGCAATGAAATAAAGTTTAAATTTGATTCTTAAAAAATGTCATCAGAATACAGTGCCATGGCCAGCTCTGGTATTTATTGAGATAAACAGACAAGAATGGCCATATTGAATCTCTAAAATCAGGTTCATGTTGTTTCAAACTTTGGGATGGTGACTCAGATTTAGTGTTTTCAAGAATGAACTTAATGGTTTCTGTGAGTTAAAGAGTTTAATACACAGCTTCAGTAATAAATGCCCTTTGAAGTAATTTGAATCTGTACATTTGGATTCATATAGCGTGACGTGTTCTGGTGCAGCAATCTGATACAGTTCAGTTTTACCAACAGTTTCCTGTAACATTTATTTTAGCCTGATGTTTTACAAAGATACAAGTCTGTTAGTAAAGGATGTTGAAATGATTTCTCTACATATCTGATATTAGAGCCATGCATCAGTACTCATCGTTTATCATCTGTCATTGTAATAGTTGTTATTTGTTTGTATTGGCTTTTGATTTGAGTATGAGTTGAACCAAAATGATTTCCTAAATACTTGAGAATGCAAGCTGATAAATAATTCTTTCTAATATTTTGTTTTTCTGGGCTAAACCTCTGTGAAGAAATTCTATTTCAGTACTTCATGATATTTTTTTGCATGTCACCCATGCAGCCAGAGGTGATTGTAAAAATGAAAAACAATCACATTAGGGAGTGATACTTTGAAAGAGGCCATTGTTAATTAATAATACCTTCCAGATGTATTTACACA